CTTTTGGGTCTTAGGAAAAGGGTCATTTGTGGCCTAGATGACTTTATGTAACAGCCACAGCATCGCCAGTGGTGCCTCCCACCCAGAAGATTAGCACTCCGCATGACATTGTATTAATCTTATGTTTGGTAGCATTTGACACACGAAAGTTACAGCTGACTTCACAACCATTCAGGTCAGGTTTTCTGCTGAGCGTCAATAGTTGGGGAAAGAGGAGAAGGAGCTTCTACTTGAACAGCTGGATTGGAGAGAGTCAGGAGGCTGGGCTTGTGTGGCAATGTCCTTGCCACAGAGAAATCTGACCTTGACTCTGCATCTTGGTCTGGTGTCAGTGGAGGCCTCAGACGATGCCCTCTCTTCGGGATATGAGCTGGTCCCATCAGTCCTTGCTTCCCCCTCTCTGCCAGCCCCTCTGCTGGACACTCAGGTGCTGTGGAATCTGCCCCATTGCAGACATCTGCCTACCTCCCTTCCCTAGGCCGACACTGCCTCACCCTCCTTGGCTCTCAAGAAGGAGGATCAGCCAACAGGCGGACAAAAGGCAAAATATGACTCATTTTTACAAAAAAAGAAAAAAGAAAAACCTGCCTGGGATGCTGCGGCTTGGGAGCTGTCACTGGGGGCAGGGGGCAGGGGTAGGGTCCCTGGGGGGCAGGGGGGCAGGGGTAGGGTCTCGAACCCACTGGGGGGCAGGGGGCAGGGGTAGGGTCTAGAACACACTGGCATTACAGAAAACCTTTTTAGAGCAACAGGTTAGCTCTGCTACTCAAAGAGGTGGGGAGATTGCCCTGACCCTAGGGCAAGCAAGTGGGTATCACCCTGCCTTGCAGAGTACCTCCTGGGGGTCACCAGGGTCTGGGGCAGGTTGCTTTTGGCCTGTGTGAGTCCAAGGGCCACCTGGAAAGGCCAAGTCCTAGCAGAGCCCAGCCCAACCTTTCTCAAGAGCAGAGCGGCTTGGGTTGCCTCTACCTCTCTCTCCTAATTTCTGTTCACGTGGAAGCAAGAAGTGTCCAAAGCCACGAGGCCAGGGTAGTGGATAGACTGTGTGTGCAACAGGGCGCCATGCCAGGGGATCATGGCAATAGAGACTGTGTGTGCAGTGTGTGTACACAAAGCCGTGAGGCTGAGGCAATGGAGACATTCTATGTGTGTATGTAACAGGGCTGGGCACCAGGAGGCCAAGGCTGTGGTGGAACTGGATGTGTGCACCATGACCCCGCCAGGAAACCCCGTTCTGCCCAGTGATAGATGCCTAGTTTCTTCTGTAAATTGCCAGCCGTGGGGGACAGGGGTTCCTGGCTCATCGCTCTGGGGTCTGCAGATCTGGCAGCCACCGAGTTTGTTTTTGGCCTCTTCAGTCGGCTTGTGGCTGACTCTCAAGCAATTGAAAAGGCCTCAGCGTTCCAAGAGCAAGCAGTGGAGAGCTGGGGATGGGTAGAGAGCTCCATCACGCCTCGGGAGGAAGAAAAGTTTTGCTGCAGCCCAGAACTTCTGCTGTGTACTCGGCTCCCTGCTGACCCAGCTAATGTTCCAACTTTCAAAGAATCAGGTAGGAGTCTGACAGGCTCGCCGAGAACAGAGAGGAGTCAAATCTTCCCTGAGAGTCTTGCAAGGTACTTTCTTCTCTGTGTTTCTGAAGGGACTTGGGTCCAAGTTCTTGCCTGGGGAGAAACTGCTCCCAAGAGCTTGGGGGCATAAAGAGAGAGCTAGAGAGAGACTTCCTGAGGGCAGAGGGAATTCCAACAGGGACCCTAGGCACGACAACAGTGTGGCTAATGAGCCCATATTCACTCACTGGTGGCTCTGAACAAGACGCTTAGGCTGAGGGCTTTATGTGGGGACCACAAGGTCACCACCACTCCTTGAACAAATATCCATTACATGAGATAGCACCAAAATGTATGTATTTCTTATAATATGTAACATTTCATCATTGAGATATAGTTTAACTGACATCGGTATGCATGTACATGTGTGTGCATGTTTGAGTGTGTGTGTGTGTGTGTGTGTGTGAGAGAGAGAGAGAGAGAGAGTGTGTGTGTGTGTGTGTGTCTGTGTGTCTGTGTGTGTGTGTGTGTGTGTGTGTGTGAAGATCTCACACTATTGTCCAGGCTGGCCTCAAACTCACAGTGATCCTCCTGCCTCAGGCTTTCAAATGCTGGGACTCCAGGTGTGCACCTCCATACCTAGCTCAGCAGCAGTTTTGGGGTTTTTGTTTTTGTTTTGTTTTTCAGCGTTACAAAAAAGCAGCTGAGGCCCCTTAGATCTGTACAACTCGGTGGACCCTTCCTTGCTGTGACTGGGGTGTGAAATGTTCCCCATAGTCCAGGCTCCTGAGCTTGAACACTTGATCTCCATCGGGTGGTGCCGCTTGGAGAAGGTCCTGGGACATTTAGGACGTGCAGCCTTGCTGGAGGAAATAAATCTCTAGGGGCGGGGCAGGCTTTGAGGTTTCACAGCCTGGCCCCTTCCCTGTTCTCCCTTCCTGCTCTGCTTTGTGAGTACAGAAGCACTGAGCATGCCCAGTCCCTCTGCAGTCCCGGTGATGAGGTTAGAAGACCAACCCAGGACCACTTAGCCTCTGTCTGGACATGAAAGGAGGTACGCCTGGCTTCCCGTGAGACAGGAAAGAGGGCTGGAAGTGCAAGAATTCATCCAGGCTGGTGGGCTACAGGGTGGAAGAGGGAGGGACGAGGACCCCGGGCTGGGTTCCATTCTCAATGCAACGTCCTACATTGGTCACTGCTCAGCTCGCAAGCACCAACTGATTTTAAAGACTCTGCCTCCAAGCTTTTAAGTATATTATTGCATTGGTTGGTTGACCGTCGGATCGATCGGCTGTTTTGGAGGTGCCCTGGCATTTGTATGGAGGTAGGAAGAGAACTTAGCAGAGTCGGTTTTCTCCTATCATGTGGATTCTAAATACGGTAATCGGGTTAGCAAGCCTTGGTCCACTCAGCCATCTCCCTGGCCCACGATCCACTTTAATTCAAGGTAAATAAATTGTCAAGGGAAAAACGAACAAGCAAAGCCCCAGAAAGGAGCCTTTTCCTACCGAAAGGATCAACAATGACTTCTGTAGAAGCAGCTGGAAACGGAAGAATTCTGAACTCCCACAGTAAACGAGCATACAAAGTTTGAGAATCTTTGCTCTTGGTGGGCCCCGTGTGGTGGGGTAGGGAGGTGGGAGGGGTGGATTCAGAGACTGAATTCACTCTGTAGCCCAGTCCTACCTCAGTCTTCGAGCAGCTGGGGTTCCAGGTTTATGTTACCTGGCATTTTGCACTTTTTAGCGAGTCTCCAATCCTTAAACTTCCTGAGCATCAGTTTGTTCAACTCCAAAATGGAGTAAGGAAGTGCTATTACTGTAAAGATATGGGAAAAACCTGGTGGGGCCCCTCCTCAGCAGTCAAAGTTAGGGTTTTATTGCTGTGAGATCGCCACAAGGGAGGTGACAAACACGCATGGCAGGACCTTTCTCAACCTCTCCTCTCTCTGCCTGGTGGAGATCTCTGGGAAGGGCTGTGTCTGCTCTCTAGCGCCCCCAGGTGTCAACTGTCTGTTCCTGCACAATATTTCTGACCGGTTTCCCAGCAGTGGTGCCCCAAACTGAGGGAAAGAGAATACTCATTCTGTCAGGGGCTTCCTAGGGAATTAATCTGAGGCCCTTGCCCTGTTGCTAACACTCCCCCAAGCCTCACCTCCAAGATTCTCAGGCACGCTGGGTTCACAGCTCAGGTCCTCTGAGGAAGGGGCTATGGTGGATGACCAATCTCAGATACGAAACCTAGGGTTGTCCCTCTCCAGTTCTGTTTATCTGGGTTGCCCACCTTTGACTTCAATGAAAGCTTAAATGTCACCTCCTCAAAGATGCCCTCCTGGCTCAGACAAACGCTGGGCCTCCCAGGCCTCAGGCACCTTTCCACAAATGCCCCAGAGTTTGCCAGTTTACATAGCCTTCATGGCCACCTCCCAGACAGCACAGAGCTATCTTATAGTAGACGCTCAATAAATAGAGGCCGGACAACGGGATAAATGGCTAAATGCCCGCTCCCACATTCTACTGGAAGTTGCAAGGAAATTATCCATTAGATCTTTGCATCAGCCTGCTGTGGCACAAGTGGTCTGAGATTAATGACAGCAGCCACAATAAAAGAAACAACCACCCTCTCCAACAGACTCCTCTTGCTTTATGAGGCTTGCGTAGGAGTTGGGCTTGGTAGCCTTGTCTTTACTGCCCTCTTGTGAAAAAATGTTGATACTGCATTTGGGAAAGTTGGAAAACGTCTTTAAAAGCAAGGAGGCTGTTTTTAGAGCCAGAGTGGTGATTTTATAACTCCTGAGTCATTTTGAGACAAGCCCCAAGGTCTATATGCACCTGTGACCTTCATCCCATATTCCTAAAATATAAGAGAACTGTAAGACAATAAACAGACGCACCCCCAAAAGAGCAGAGACCTATCAATTCTGGATTGATTGAGCTATGTCCTTCCGTGCCAGGGATGAATACAATAAAGATCATGACAAGTGTCTGTCCACAGAGACTTTACAATATAATTGTAGTGACTTCACCCAAAGCAAGGGGTTCAGGATCACACTGACCACCAGTATACACTCTCAGAAGAAACTGAGAAACATGCTAGTCTAAAGACCAGAGTTTGTAGCCAGACGCTCCTGGTCCCACCAGCCGACCTGAAAAGGCCACTTTATCCCTGTCAATGACTTTTCCCCATCTCCAATGACTCAGCAGGAGACCCACCTTCATAGAGGGAGCAGAAACAATGAGAGGAACAGGACCAGCACTTCAGTGTGGTGCCGGCACCCCGAGAGCTCTCATCAGAACTAGTCGTGACAATGATAAGCAGGGGTCCTGAACTGTCTGGTGCAGATCAAGAATGGAAATTGGCCAGATCTCCACCCCAACCCTTGCAATAAGATATTTATTGATATGGTAGTTCACGATAAGCAAGACAAGCCATTGCTATAGGTTGCATGGAATAAGATGTTTATTGATATGGTAGCCCGTGATGAGCAAGACAAGCCATTGCTATAGGCCATATGGGAGAGGCTGATATCCACTGGCTCTAGCCAAAGTCCACATCCACTTCTCCCTCCTCTATCCGTGGTAGGCATCACGAATCAGTAGTCTCCCCTTCTTTTATCCATGGCAGGCATCATTCATCAATAACACCTCCCTCCTACAACCACGGCAGACATCACTAATCAATAACTTCCTCCTACACCATGGCATACATCACCAATCACCCTTCTTTAGGGTAGATCGTGTGTCTGTTCCAGAGTGTGCATCCTTGAGGGCTCTAGGCAGTTACAACAGCTGAGCAGGCTGGGAAAATGTCAGACAATGGAAGCTATCTTTCCAGGTCATGGCACCTGGGTAGATTAAAGCCTCGCCGAGGAAGGGGAAGGCATTTTAGCCAGAGGCAGCCGAGTAAGATGAAGTGTGAGTGAAAAGACAGATCTAAGAGGAAGAGGAAGTGAATTAAAGATGGGCTGGGTTATGGAGCCCTTGACAGCAGGCTTCCTCGATGTCAGGGGCAGCAGGTAACCTCACACGGTGTCGGGCAGGTAAGGGTGTGGTAACTCCTGGGAGGCGCCATTGCTGGCAGCCAGAGCCAGGTGAACCGGACAGGGGACTGAGCTCGGCTGGAGCTGAGGCCATGGGTGAGGGAGGAAGCCTTGGGAGACCTACTGCCTCTTGGTTTCTCAGAGCGAAAGAAAGGTGCCCACTCGTGCGGCTTCTTTGTCTACCCTGTACTCTACCTGCTGCAGGGCAGTGGCGCCCCACCAGAAAACAGGTTGGGAGAGATGAGAGAAGATGCCTCCTTCCCGGCACATGGCCTTGGTGGGCTTTGGGACGTCCAGCAGTGACTTCCTGTGGGCAGCTGGCAGGCAGGGAGATTGGAGCCAGCACGAGAGCGACGGAGAGGAAAGACAGGAGGCAGTTAATGCTTTCCAGGTCCAGGTTTTCACTCAGAGCCCCGTGAGCAGGAAAAGAAAGCCAGAGACAGGAAGCAGCTGAACTGGGTGAAGGTCACGGCTTAATTAAGAGGCATTCTCTGCGATCTGCTGATTGGAAGAGACACTCCGTATCTGGGTCAAGTGTCCTTTTCACATCTTCCCCTAGAACGAGGAGGAAAAAGAACTTTTTTTGGTACTGGGGTTTGAAGAGTCTTATGCACAGGACCCCTAATGTCCCTGTTGCTAAGAAAGAACACATACATTTAACTGAAATACCCAAGTAATCAGAAGCAGGGTCAAAGCGACAACCCCTTTATTCCAAGACTCCATTTCCAAATGGGTAACAAGGTCCCTCCAACTCGAAGGTCAAACAGACTTGGATTAGAACCTCGGCTCCACCACTTCCTAGCTGGGTGACCCTGGACAAGATACTTAGCCTTTCTGAACCGTAGTTCCCTCATCCACAGAGCAGAGATAATAGAGTGTCTAGTTCACAGGGCTAGGATGGCAATCAAAAGAGATGATGCATATGCAGGCTTAGTGCGGGACTTGACACATAATTGAATGGATTAGAATCCTCTTTTTATCCAATCACCTGCCTGTTTTAGGGACCAATTTGAAACACCCAATCTGTCTTTTCAAGGCTGACATGGCTCCTTGCACCTGCCAGGGACACAGAGAAAAACAAGACTGTAAGCCAACAGGGTTAGTCCCTTTCATCTAAGCCCTCATCACCAGAAAACAGCTTGTGAAAAGATCTGGGGACGGCACGGGAGACCACAGCTCTCCAGCCACCTGTCCTCTGGAGTCTGTCACCTGTCCTCTAGAGTCTGTCACCTGTCCTGTCCTCTAGAGTCTGTCACCTGTCCCCTAGAGTCTGTCACCTGTCCTCTGGAGTCTGTCACCTGTCCTCTGGAGTC